CCCATCCCCCACATACACGACATCACAGCATCGCTCAAGGGCACGACAATCTTTTCTAACGTCGATCTGGTACGAGCATATCACCAGATTCCAGTCGCTCTTGAAGACATAGAAAAAAACTGCTATCACGACTCCTTTCGGTCTGTTTGAGTTCCTACGAATGCCATTTGGATTACGGAATGCTGCTCACACTTTCCAAAGGTTTATCGATAGCATAGTACGAGACTTGGATTTTGTTCACGTCTATATTGATGACCTGCTGATCGCATCATCAAACGTAGATGAACATTATCAACACCTTACGCTATTATTCCAACGTCTTTCGGATAATGGAATAGTAGTCAACCCAGAGAAATGTGGATTGGGTAAATCAGAAATAATATTTCTGGGTTACATCATCAGACAAGAGGGTATTCTGCCTTGCGAGGACAAAGTTCGAGCAATCAAGGAGTACAACGTGCCGTCCTCACTCAAGGAACTGAAGGCTTTTCTCGGTTTGGTTAACTTCTGCCGACGTTTTTATCCCTCACGCGGCAGAACGGTTACGACCATTAACCGATTTACTACGCGGTAATCCACGCAAATTAGAATTGAACGATACCGCACGTACTGCATTCTCAGAGATCAAAACGGCTCTCGCTGAAGTTACACTCCTAGCTCATCCTGACCCATCAGCCACGCTTAGTATAGCGGTTGATGCATCAGATTTTGCTATAGGAGCCGTTATGCAACAGAATATCTCCGGTAGTTGGCAACCTCTTGAATTTTTCTCACGACGCCTTACTCCCACGGAGACGAGATATAGCGCATTTGGTTGCGAGCTGCTTGCAGCCTACTGTGCCATCAAACATTTCCGGCACGCAGTAGAAGGACGCCAATTCATCTTATTCACCGACCATAAGCCCTTAACGTATGCCCTGCATACCAAGTCTGACCGCTACTCACCACGAGAGTGCAGACATTTGGACTATATCTCACAGTTCACGACAGACCTTCGTCACATTAAAGGCGAGTCGAACTATGTTGCCGATGCTCTTTCACGTATCCAGATGAATGCAGTTACCTTACCGGTGCTCGATCATCCTGCTATGGCCGCCGCACAAGCAAACGATCCTGTCTGTACAGAAGCACCACAATCTTCGTCCCTTCAGTGTCAGGAAGTACCCCTAGCTACTAGCTCAGGTACTATCCTATGTGATATTTCTACCAGTCTTCCTCAACCCATCGTACCCTCTACCTATCGCCGTCTCGTCTTCGATGCCCTTCATGGATTGTCTCATCCAGGTATCGCAGCCACATTACGTCTCACCGCTGCACGATACGTCTGGCCGTCCATGAATAAAGATGTTCGTATGTGGGTAAAGCAATGCTTACAGTGTCAACGATCAAAAGTGCACAGGCACGTAGCTGCCCCCATTGGCACGTTCGCTACGCCTGATGCTCGCTTTGATCACGTTCATGTAGACATTGTAGGACCACTGCCACCATCGCATGGGTATGATCACATACTCACGTGCATTGACCGTTTTACAAGATGGCCCGAAGCTATTCCCATCACGTCTATCACGGCGGAGACAGTTGCTCACCGCTTCGTAGAACGATGGATAGCATTGTACGGTTGTCCCTCGACTGTCGCGACTGACCGAGGACAGCAATTTGAGTCCGCATTATTCTCCTCACTGACCCGGCCGCTTGGTACGGAACGCATACGCACTATCGCCTACCATCCAACATCGAATGGTTTAGTCGAACGGTTTCATCGCCAACTTAAAAGTGCTCTCCGAGCACACGAAAACGACAATTGGTACGAAAACTTACCGCTCGTTCTCTTAGGCATCAGAACGAGTTTGAAGGCAGATATCCAATGTTCCGCCGCTGAACTTGTATACGGCACGACATTGCGTCTGCCTGGGGAATTCTTCACACCACGGAGCAGTAATGATTTCGGTAAATCAGACTACGTCCATCGACTGTCTGCATTTATGCGAACGCTGTCTCCGGTGTCAACTCGAATACAACATCGACAGGTCGATCTCTCTCGAGAGTTATCTACCTGTTCACATGTTTTCATACGAGTAGATTCGGTACGCAAACCTCTGAAACAGCCTTACAAAGGGCCTTTTCACGTGATCTCTCGTCACGAAAAGACCTTCAAGGTTGATCGACACGGCCGCGTCGAGATCGTCAGCATTGATCGTCTCAAACCAGCACACGTCGATGACAGTGCCCTACCCGATAACTTGAGACTCAATGCTAGACCTATCAAACCTTCTAGCGGGATCTCTACGTCTACCTCGAATCCCACGCTAGATACATCAGAGACCTCGTTCTCACGTCCCGTTAAAACAGCACGCGTCATCTGCACCATCTACGGACGAGACTTCCGTCTCACGTCCAGATCGGCAGACCACGCCGCCCTTGACCTCGGATGAGATCGCAGGCTCACGAAGTACGAACGAGACTATCGTCTCACGTTCCGGTCGCCGAGTACGATTACCCGTACGCTTTCGCGACTAGACGCATAGTCAATAACGGATACGGTGTAGGATTATTCCTATACTACACGCATGCTACACTTTTCTTTTTTTGATTTTTTTTGTGTCCTGAGCCCACGCCTCCGACCATCGCCCATTCGGTAACGTCGATTTCAGTCAACTTTGGCAAAAGCTGGTTTGGCCACCCACGCTCTAGTCAACGCACTCAGTCGATTATCTGGTCTCGAATTCGCCTGGCATACGCTTGGTCGTTATGGTCGCTTCCGGTTTCTTGGCTCAACGTGGTTTCGTCCTACGTCTGCAGCGTTTTCTGGTCCACATCCCTACGAACGCAATCATCAGATTCTGGATACAAACCACTCTGATGTGGTATGCTAACTCGACCAACAAATACAGCACACTTCTCCTGGTACCGTTCTGCGCAAAAGACTTTCGTTGGCAACTCGAGGATCAATGATCACTTCCTGTTCCGCCAATTTCCTCCGTCCTACAACCGCAATTCTGCCGATCAGTCCCACGAATCAAACCGCTAACTATCGAAAGTGTAAACCCTTTCTAGCGGGGGGCTCCTGTAGTGACCTACTTTTGTTAACAGAACGCGATTGGTTCAATGAAAACAATTATTATTATAACCAATTGTACCAGTGACTGTTTAACTGTGCTCGTTTGTTTAACTGTGCTAATGACAGCCATTATACTCACTTACTCTCCCGTTGACTTTGAACTTGTACGAATCCGGTTACGCTCAGTAACCACGCTTGTGCTCCTTTGGCACGATCTCGGTATTCTTTCGATACCACGAGATCGCCAACAAATACATCTCGACTACAGCCATCATCTGCCTTCTGATTTTTGGCCTACCGGAATCTTATTGGTCTATTGGCACGTAGTCTTGTAGCGGGGTTCATAGTCAAGCTCAACTCGACGCCACGCTACAAACTCAGGTCAATTTTTAATTGTGATTTTACAATCTCGCCCTATTGCTTTCTTCACATATACAGGTCCCTCCTCAAAGGTGTCGGTGATCCAGTGTTACTTGTTACGTAAAAGCTTCTCCTATATTGTCCACAAAAATTTGGACCTTTTGATGTCTAGCCAAAAACAAGGAATGAGTTTATAAAAACTTGTGAATGATAACGCCTAACTAAATATATACATTGAAATATAGTAATGATGTAAATCATTATTTACTAGTTAGGTTTTCCTTAAAAATTTGCACAATCTCGAAGAAGCGAAGTTACGAAATTCCAAATACACACTTTTTTCCCAGTTATTTTAGACTTCATAGTGCTTACACTACTGATGGTTATCTAATATATTCGATCACAATATCCAATGTGAATGTTTATTGCAATGTAAGAGCTAAGTTCTTTTCTGTTTAACGAATCATTTACCGTGAGGCTTGTGAAACACGGGTCATTATGGGTCATCTTGAAATACCTTATTTCATACTCACCTGGAAATGACACTGGTATTCGGAGTTTGACAACGCTTTAACCAGTAACACCTTCTAATATGAAGCGTACCCACCAAGTGAAATCGAAAGACAGAAGCGAGGAGGTTCGAAGGTATATTTGATAGGCTATTAATATATTGAGGATCGTCTGATCTAATCTGGCTAGCGATTGCAGTAGATGTTGAGCATGGCGTTCCCACACGTGATCTGGTGCGGATGTATGACCGAGCTCCCCTAGCTAGATGAGTCAATTAAAATGAATGTGGTTAGTATCCAATGTCGAAAACTTACAGAGCTATTTATTTTGGGGATTTATTTACCGCTACACACCAATACGTAAAGCAACCCAATGCATTTATTAACAACCAAGTTACTTAGAATCTTTTGGCTAAATATAACGTCAAATGCACACTTGTAACCCACGGAGGAACGCTTCCATCGTCCACCATGATTTACTATACAAATTATCTGCACTAAAGACAATTATGTCTCACTCGTTAAAATTCGTCATAATCATGTTTGAATTCTTTAGAATTGTAGAAGCTTTGACAAAACAACCGCCTTTGAGGAAAAAACAGATTTACTGACGGGAATCGTATTGGAACTATTCGATCTACTGCCAGTATCAACCATCCCAGCTAAATAAAAGAGAAACGCAATGTAATGCATACCTTGTCGCATGCCAGAGAGAAATAACAAAAAATTCCTATAAATGTTCTCATAGAGTAAAAATGTCCTGGCATTTCAAACAAATAGTCTACACTCGCCTATATTTACGCTAAATGTATAAATAGAATAAACCAGTGGACATTCGGAAATGTTAGCTGGTAAACAGACGACTAAACGTGATAACTGTAGTGATCTTTATAAAGAGCTTTTCTTCTAAATTTTCATCACATACAATGCATGAATGTAAAAAATGCAAAGCCGTCTACAAACTCATGAGTCATCGTGCTATTCAAATACAGAATGTCCGCCACCAATACTGGCGTTCTCAAGGTTGTACCGGCGAGGAGAGGTAATTTTGACAAGAGGGTGACTTTTATTTTGTGACATATTTTAAATGAGCAACAATGTGCTAGATATTTTGTTACTATGATTTCATACACAAACTTACGTTACTAGGTTTCGTGAAACCACGTAGCCTGTATCACCGATCCATATGGTTTTGTAAGTACGAATTAATTCGTGATAATCTTGATATTCTTAGACGTATGATCAACTCTTGCAATTTAAGCCGCCACATACGTAAAGAAATTCGTCGTACGTACTAATTTATTTCTGTATTCAGAGTCGTCCCAGGACAGTGTCATTATCATGTTCTTGGTATATTGTAAATTTCTGGAAAACTCAGATCTGAGTCGATTCTAGGTTTTTTTTCCGCACTCGCGACTTAAAATATCTGTTAAGATTGCCTCAAAGTTGGGGGTTCTTCAAATAACGCGTGATATACAATTGTGTAATCGGATACAACAAATTGACCTTAATGTTTCTTGATAATGTATTTTCTCATAGTTTGAGTCACACTATTTTCCGTTCTATGAGTTCATATTAAAAGATAATGTGGTCAATCTCCTAACCACAAACATTTAGGATTTATTGCGATAAAAGCACAGGATCAAATCGGAAGTAATATTTGCGGCTTAAAACTCATGACCGTTGACGTCGAGTTTAATAAGTATCTACCTTTCCATTTTACCATTAGCGATTCTTGGCTGCCTGTGGCTAAATATGTAATGTGCGGCTAACTCGAAGTCTAATAGTCGAAATGTCCTGTCTATTAAGCTACATCTCTACACCTTACTGGTTTTCATTATTTAAGAATTAACGGTATGTACGACTTCCCTGATAGTAATTCCTAAATATATCTGCGTTTCTTGTTATCTACAGGATAGTACGTAAAAATGGCGAATTCGACAAGCTTGTTTATTGAGACGAATACTGATTGTAATGCTGTAGGATCAGCGACATGGGATTTTGCTGGACATCATGTAGTTTTTTCTATATACGGCCCAGATGAAGCTAAGATCAATGATGAACTTACTCATCGTGCATATGTTGACGTCACAGTGACACCTCGTACTGGACAACGAACATCAAAGGAATCAGAGCTTGAAATTTACCTTAACAATCTTTTGGAACGTCTGATTGATGTGAAGGAGTTCCCACGATCTAAGGTTAGCGCTATGAATGTGACAGTTTCCGAGTTGAAAATATTCCGTTTAATTAAGATTTTGTGCTACATATTACGAAACTTTCTCCTTGGGGAAATGACACTTTGTCATGAGATTTTTATTTACAGTCTATTAATACAATCGTATAAAAATTCCAAAACTTTCGTCATTCGCTTATTGACTAAGTTGAAGTTGGTATTTTATATTCAGCGTGCACCTCAACATTGATTTCGTGAATTAACTCGCATTTCATGATAAAGTAATAATTTGCTTGTCTCAGTTATATTCAAAGTAGGATTTGTCAAAACAATACTAAAAATCATTGTAAATGAATTTCTATTTCATTTCCACAGCTTCACATCAACCAGAACTAATCGGGACTATTTATAAGTAAAACTTAATAAATGGAACATGTAGCATAAATTTCTTGTCAATCAAGATAAATATGAACAGGGTGTAATTCAGATAAAAATGAACAAAATTATATACATCAAGAAAGTGGATACAGCATGAGGATTACTTAAGTTTCTAGATATATTTATTGGGAGAAAGAATCGTTCAATCAAGAATTGTTTTCAGTATAGGTTTGTAGAGATTGTCGAGTTTCAATTGAGATCATGAACCTATCAATGTTAGATCACTATTGAAAACCTGGAGGCACTGGGTCGTTTACCAAAAAAATACGTGGTCCAAGTAGCAATTAATTCACAGGACCCTTTGCTCTTTAAGTTATTAGTAAAAATCTATGTTCAAATAAAACGTTGGTATCCCAGACACTTTTTATATATAAACGAGTATTAGAGTTCCTTAATAAATGTTTAAAACCTTGTGATGAGAACACCACACAACTGATAAATCCTTTTCACACATACTATGGCAAATTAGCACTAATATTCCTCCTTAGATAGCAAAATAGTAGTAGTAATCAGTTCATAAAACTATTTTATATCATGACTTTTCACTTATTCCTCCTTTTCCCACTAAAATATACTGTTTCAGTTTATTCCTTAAAAGTTGATTGTATTTTCTTACCGAAGGAGTAAAGTCTATCTTTCATTTGTATTATTCCTATATAGTTTATTAGTTATTTCTTTTATCATCTAGTTTACTGGACGTTTGTTTATCGTCACTGGTGGCACTAATCATCCTAGAACAGTGGCTGCAGCCATAAACGCAATTTCATTAGCTCTTCTTTTATCTGGTTTACCACTACGAGCAACAATTGCATCAGTTTGTCATACAATCCAAGATGCTTGTAAGTCACCTATTCCTAATCATTTCATATTACCAAAAATTTTGAACACATAAACATTGGTACAAGGAGGCATCAAACAGATATACGCTACGTAAATTATTCGATTTGTGCGAGGCCTGGGGTACTGCCCGCGTACCCAAACCGAAGCACGTGGTTTTCTTAGGGAGCCACACTTGGAGCCTTTTACCTAAATGTCTGATCCACAAGGCAGTGGAGCAAGGTAAGGAGATGTAGTCTCATGGTAGCCGATGACCAATGATTGGTTCATACGCCATTTGTTCCTTCAGGATATTGGAGCCCATGTGCACAATTGGTTTGAAATCACGGTTTACCAACTCGCCTAGATGGACTCTTTATGTCCATCGACCCGATTAAAGCTCCTGCCGGACATTCACTTTTCGTCCTCTCAATTTCGTAAACAACAGTAATGCCGCGGGAACGCAGTGAGTAGGAATTCCCTGGCAATAGTTGTATGCACGCGACCTTGAGAGCATTTAGAGACAGAGCTGACTCTTCTCACTCTCGGTCGTACCAGGACATTTGGGGGCAGATAAACGAAATAAGTCATGTTCTATGCACTATTTCCATAATACAAAGCTATAAATAGTATTGATACTTTGCTTTTGATCATATACTCGCAGTCATTCCAATTCTCAGTAATTATAGTTGCCTCATTAGTGGTGCTGAACTAAGCTTGGAGCCCATCTGGAGCTACTGCCGGTCCTAAGCCCGGATAAGGAAGGAGGATTTGGCATGGGGTTAGCGACCTCATCCCGTAGAAAACTAACTCACTAAAAAAACGCTAATCATTACTGATGCTGGTACATGATAAAGTCAAATATGTTTCATATATTCTGTTCATTAATGGATATATGGTCAGTAACACAAATATGTGAAGGAAGTAATTAAATTTATCAGACTTGTTTTAGAAAATGAACATATTTTGTTTGCCTGTCTGGAATAGTTATTCTATTGATTGTGTATAGGACACTCTCATAGATCAAATTATTCACTAAATTACTGTCAACAAAACTAAATTGTTATGGGGTCTCAGCTTTTTTATAGTAGATAGTCCAATATGTACATCTTTTCATTACTTTGTGTACATGTTGTTACATAAATGAACAGTCAACAAAATACACAAATCAATGTATTTTGTTGAGGCGCAATGAAGACCCCATTTTATTCCAGTTGTTCTATATCTATTCGTTATATCTTGACTTTCGTGATATACTAATACAATTTGGTCATACCAAGCATGGCCGGACGGAGACGTGTTGTGGTATAATCAAAAGTGCACAAAAAATAGATGTTCGTAGTTAGCACTACACATCACTATATCAATGTCACATAACTGCTTCGCATCTTAAAGTCACATGGTAGATGAATTTACTGTCTATTTTGCATAACGGTAAATTCACTTGTCCACAATAAATAACAGATTCATACATTGGCCTGACTGTTTCAATTTAGGCACTCAGTCAGTCAGCTACAACGTAGGACCAGGCACATATATGCATCGGTCCAAGTTGCCATTACCTCATTAGCACAAAAAGATGAACACCGAATTCATAGAAGTAGTTAATGCAATGGTAGTAATATATAAAAGAGAGATTGCATACAAGGATATAGTATAGAAAGAAAGATATAAAACAATCTTAATCTCATAGTTTAAGGGAATACAGATATACTATAGTAATATTTATTTATAACACAAGAATGAATACTGTTGGGCATCAGCCCCCAAATGCCCTGGTACGGCCGAGAGTGGGGAGAGTCCGCTCTCCCTCTCGAAATGCTCTCACATGGCCATGCGTATATAGCCTCTGTCAGGGAAGTCCTACTCACTGCCTTCTCGTGGCGGGGGTGTTGTTTACAAAAATGAGAGGACGAAAAGCGAATGTCTGGCGCTTTAACCGGACCCCAAACCAATGGTGCACATGGGCTCCAGTATCCTGAAGGAACAAATGGCGTATGAACCAATCGTTGGTCACCGGCTACCATGGGACTGCATCTCCTCACGATGCTCCACTGCCTTGTGGGTCAGACGTTCAGGTCAAAGGCTCGGGGTGTGGCCCCCTAAGAAAACCACCTGCTTCGGTTTGGGCACCCGGGCAGTATCACAGCCCTCACACAAATCAAATGAGATTTGTGTGGCGCATATGTATTTGGTGCCTCCCTGTACCTATACTTATGTGTTAAAATAAATAAATAAATAAAGTTGGGCATCAACAAATACTTCACGCGAAATCAAACAACAACGTTTTGGAGAAATAAGATGAGAGAAAAGAAAATACTTACGGATACAGTTCAGAGGCGGAAATGACCGCAATAGACTTGATTTTCTATCGAAAGTTCATCTCATTGTCTATATAGAACAAATCGAATTTATACCAAGTAAGCGACTTCTTTCTTGACCTAAGCTCGTCACTGTCTCGAACTACCTAATTTCACAATTTATGGGACTACCCAAGGAGTCTTAATATCTCTACAGATGCCAACCTGACAGAACAACACTTCATTGTTCGATTCTAAGTCATAAATTGATTATAATTATCCACTTAGCCCCAATACGAAATCCTCGAGAAAGATAAGTGGAGAACACGTCCACGTCGCTAAATCTGATGTTTCAAAATGTCATCACTTGCTAAATAATGTACTTCGTCATGAAAAACTACTCGTTACAGGATCTCAGTACTGCATAAATTATGATGTTGTTGAGTGCAAGAGATACTGTAATGAGAATAGTGATCAAATACTGAAATTTATCGAACATCTTCAGAGAAGCTAGCTTCTACAAGCGTAGAGTAAAACTCATACTATGTGATATGATGGAAAGAAAGTCAGTTTTCGATCGATTTACTTATTATGAGTTTTATTCATCATTACATCTTTTTTTGATTCAATGTAATTATTACTCAATGTAGTATTTATATTCTTTTGTCGTATGATTATTATTTATTTATTTATTTTAACACATAGGTATTGGTACAAGGAGGCACCAAATACATATGCGCCACACGAATCTCAATTGATTTGTGTGAGGGCTGTGATACTGCTCGGGTGCCCAAACCGAAGCAGGTGGTTTTCTTAGGGGGCCATACACCGAGCCCTTGACCTAAATGTCTGATCCACAAGGCAGTGGAGCATCGTGAGGAGATGCAGTCCCATGGTAGCCGGTGACCAACGATTGGTTCATACGCCATTTGTTCCCTCAGGATACTGGAGCCCATGTGCATCATTGGTTTGGGATCCGGTTAAAGCGCCGGACATTCACTTTTCGTCCTCTCATTTTCGTAAACAACACCCCCGCCACGTGAAGGCAGTGAGTAGGACTTCCCTGACAGAGGCTATTTACGCATGGCCATGTGAGAGCATTTCGAGAGATAGGGAGAGCTGACTCTCCCCACTCTCAGCCGTACCAGGGCATTTGGGGGCCCCCAAATGCCCTTGTCGTATGATATTTTATTCTGTATTTCATTGACATGAACTATGCTCTATATGTGATTTGTCATAACTGAGTATTTTTCATATATGTGATTTCATTCGAATTATTAATCAAAATGGGTGTACAATCAATATATAAACGAGTATATTTTCGACTAAGGTCGTCGTCGTCCTCATAGTGTTTTGGGCTAATAAAACTTCGCTTATACCAGTCTTGTGTTCTTACTTTTGCGTCGTGGGAATTGTGGAAGTCCCTTCGTTCCGAGCATAAGTGGTCAGCGATTCCGACATAATAATCAGCGACGACCAGATACAAAAAGTAGCATTCGATACTCAAGACATAACACTATGAGATTCATCATTCAAGATTACCATCATAACCACGTCACATGTGTCTTAAGTTGGCACAAGCGGTATTCATTTTCTTTATAAAAGGACTCCTCACTTATACTAATCAAGTGGTATATCTCTAGTCCTTACGCTTAAGTCATGTGAGATCAAACATTTTTGTATCCTTAGTTACTGAAATCCATAATTCCTTTTTGTTTATATCTGCTCGTTTATTAACACCTGAAATGAACAAATACAAAGTACTACATGCATTTAAATGGTGATATTATTTTCAGTTCATTGTGCTAATTATTTCGGATGTTATATTGTTTCTTTTTTCTGTTTCACCATGTGTACATTCAAACCATTCAACTTTTTAAATAGCTTATTAATTTTTGCGCTTAACTTTCCCGCTAATTTTTTTCATTGACCAAACAAATGTCTCCTAAATTTACTAGATATAAGACTTCAAATGCCCTGGTACGGCCGGGGGTTGGGAGAGTCCACTCTCCCCGCTCGAAATGCTCTCACTTGGCCACACGTATACAACCACTACCAGGGAAGTTCTACTCATCGCGTTCTCGCGGCAACGGTATTGTTTAGGGGAATTGACACGACGAAAAGCAAATGTCCGGTGCTTTAACCTGATTAGTGAGTACGGAAGATCTATCTAGAGAAGTTAGAAAACTCCAATTCCAAACTAATGTTGCACATGTATTCCAGCATCCTCAGGGAACGAACAGAATATGGACACATTGTTGTTCACCGTTGACCATGTGAGTGCACCTCCCAAAGTTGCTCCACCACTGTCTTGTGAATTAAACCTGTAGATCAAAGGTTCGAAGAGTGGTCCACAAAGAAAACCACCCGCTTCAGTTTGGGCGCCCGAACATTAATTTAACCTTCATACAAATCGACCGACGAAGTGTGGCGCATATATATTTAGTGTCTCATTGTATCCATGTTTATGTGTTTAAATAAAACTACATCGGTAAATTAAATTCATAACCTATTACAAATCCATTATTCGCTTTCGAAAAAAAAACTCCATATGAGTTTATACGCCAAAACTTGCAGTCATCTAATCAGTATTCTATATCTCTTCTCGTGGCGGGGGTGTTGATTACGAGAATGAGAGGACGAAAAGCGAATTTCCGGCGCTTTAACCGGATCCCAAACCAATGGTGCACATGGGCTGGCTCCAGTATCCTGAAGGAACAAATGGCGTATGAACCAATCGTTGGTCACCGGCTACCATGGGACTGCATCTCCTTACGATGCTCCACTGCCTTGTGGATCAGACCTTCAGGTCGAAGGCTCGGGATGTGGCCACCCTAAGAAAACCATCTACTTCGGTTTGGGCACCCGAGCAGTATCACAGCTTTCACACAAATCAATTGAAATTCGTGTGGCGCATATGTATTTGGTGCCTCCTTGTACCAATACCTATGTGTTAAAATAAATAAATCTCTACAAAATAAGAACAAATTACGCTACTTTAAAAAAAGAATGCATCTATTAATAAATCATATTTTTCTTTTCTATGTTTTACAGTAATTACATTTGCAATAGATGTAACTCATCCAAAACTTTATACTAAAAAGAATAGTTCTAATGAACCGAGTATATTTGCTATATATACTGGTCAAACACATTTTGAAATTGACAAAACTAATGGATCATCTCTACATATTCCAATTCAAAACTTTCTTGATATTATCAAACTACCAGAATCATATGACAGTAATATAAACACCATAGATCATAACAAAAATGAAAGTATTTATGAACAAGCATTAAATTTACTTGATGCTATGGTATCACAAATTGTTTCTAATGTACATACATAGTTAATATGCATTCTGTATAAATCAACTATACTATTTATTTGTAAATATGATTTCTACTGTAACTAATATTTCTTTCTTTCATTCATTGTTGTTCACCGAATAATGCATGATATCAGTGTTATGAATAGAAGAGACTATGTTATAAGTGTTTTAAAGTGGTTGTTAAGGGAATTCAATTTATATAAATGACAAGATTAGTTGTTTTTTTTTTAGGTAATGGTGTTATTATCCGATAACTTAAATCTTAAATTAAAACTATGATCTGGTGAGTAATAGTTGAAGTTTTACTCTATGGATCTGATCCAATTTATTTAGAGAATCTTATTGTTCAAACTTTTGTATGGATATGATCAAGGAAATCGGTCAGTCGATCAGCTACAACGTAGGACCAGGCACATATACAGTACAGGAAGAAAGAATCAGTTCGTAGAAAGAAATATATGAAGCGATTTTAATCTCATGGTTTAACAAAAACAGAGTGTATACACCTATGCCATTGTGATCGATCCTGAGCCATGTCACACACAGTCTACAACCATTGGTTGCGATAGTCATGCGGACCATAACGAAGTAGTCTACATCTACCAACATGGCTCAAACTACAAGTTAGTAAATTCAAGCACTGATGCCACGTTTTGGTTTGGCCGTTCCTAACTTTCTTCCAACCATCCCCAACACTAGTCAGTCAGCATTGCGCACCGTGGTAATCGGTGTCCAAACATACGTAACGCGTGGCCCAACCATCTCAGTCAATGAAGATTCACAACCTCATCAACTGATTTACCATCATTCCCTAATACACTGTATCAGTCTAACCTCACTATTACTTCCTCTGTAAGCCCAAGAAAGTGCGAGCAATATTTCTAAGATATCTGAGTATCTTGTACTCTTAATAGCCACGTTTCGTATTCGTAAAGTAGAATAGAACGAACTGCCGCGTAGTATACTCGTCCTTTATTGGATAGACGGATATCTTGCCTTCGCCATAGGTGATGTAAGTTGGCAAAAGCCAAATGACCTTTTCGAATCCGTGCTGAGATTTCGTTAAACACCAACCAATTAGAGCTGATCAAGAAAATATGATGTAATATTTCATAAGCAGTCTTTTTTGCATCCTTATATGCTGACAATATCCCAAGATTTAAAAATAAAACATGAGTAGATAAGGAACATATTTCAAGTAACTCGGCTACCTGGATTACCAATTGTGTTGTGTTCTTAACGACAGCATATATATTGATCGTTAAATTCAGCTGACCAATGTCACTATAAGAAGTGCTAAGGTGACGTGAAATGTTCGAACCTACTCTTATATTGAAATATTTAATTAGTTTCATAAGCCAGAAAAATACCAGCAGATATATTGTGTTATTTATCAGTAGGAGTTTAAGCTAACCTATTGTCAATTTTCAAAATAACTTGTGACACAGTGATTATATCGAGTCCGATCCGTATAACATACATGTGTATTTATGAAAACAAAGACTGATCAAACTCAGTCGTTAATATCAACAACGGGATGATTTAAGCCCAATATTCATAATGGTCTAAACATCATAATCATTTCACAAATGAATGGTTATCTATACTCATCAGCTTAATGGATAACGCCTTGGCCATTTGAAATAAAAAGCATTGATTTTGAGTCCCAATATTAACAACCAATACTGGGATGCAAGTAGATCCAGCTGACAAGTACTAAACAGAATGAAACGCGGCGTCATAAATTCTAATAGTAGCTGCAACACCTATCCTAAATAGACACATTGTTGTAAATTTGGTTGAGACTATAATTTATGGACGAACTTTGAGTGACGCTAAGCTGACCTTGATGGTGTTAACCTAAAAATAACTAGAACAAAATGAGGGTTATAAACCAGTGTGAGGAATTCTAATTATGACTTATAATTGATGGTTAAAGTTAGGAATTAGATTTAGGATTTTCATCACGAACTGACATGATCTATAATGTCAAAACTCTATTTAACCAAACGGATGAGTGGATTTCGCACCAAAATCCGAGACCCGTTATCATATATCTGATTGGCTTGTTCATAAATTATAGTCTCGCCTAATATGTACAGTCTCCTATTTTATTTTATTTATTTGAACACATAGATATTGGTACAATGAGGCAGCAGATACACATGCTCCACACAAATCCCATTTGATTTGTGTGAAGGCTGTGATACTGCCCGGGTGCCCAAACAGAAACAGGTGGTTTTCATGGAGGGTCACACCCTGAGCCTTTGACCTAAATGTCTGATCCACAAGGCAGTGGAGCAACGTAAGGAGATGTAGTTCTATGGTAGCCGGTGACAAATGATTGGTTCATACGCCATTTGTTCCCTAAGGATACTGGAGCCCATGTACATCATTGGTTTGGAATGATGGTTTTCCAACTCCCCTAGGTGTACCCTCCATGTCCACCAATCCGGTTAAATCGCCTAACATTCTCTTCTCATCCTCTCAAATTCGTAAAGAACACCCCCGCCACGAGAAGGCAGTGGAGTAGGACTTCCCTGATAGAAGCTATATACGCGTGGTCATGTGATAGCATTTCGAGAGGAAGAGCTGACTCTCCCCAATCTTGGTTGTACCAGGGCATTTTGGGGCCCCACACTATTGATTGGAACCAGCATTTACCATGTTACACTCAGGATTTTTATTCATTAGATGCAGTAACTGTATGATTATGCTATCAGTCTGCAACGTACATTAATAGTAAATGACGTCTAGAAGAAAATCTGAATTATAGAATTTGAAGAGGGAGGTTGATTATGAATGCAGTGGTCTTGAGTGCTATTAGAGGTATGAGGGCAGTTATCACTTCCCGGTTGCCCACATTGTGGAAGGGTTCTGACGGGAAGTGGATGAAAAGGAAATTGGATTAGGGGTGGTCTTAGTGACCTGACAGTGTGACCGCAGTGCCCAAGGGACAACTGCTTGAGATCAGTCATCTATGACCATTTTATGAGTAATTTTCGTGTTAGCTCCGTATTTGTTGAGACCTTACCTCCAGAGACGGATATTTGTGGGATAAGGCGAGGTGTGCATTTTTAGGGTCAACCTTTTCTAACCCCACCTCTCCTTGTGGGAAGGCAGCATCGCTGTCATGCTGGTTGTCTGAAAGAAACACCTTATTGCTGTCACACCTCTGTACAGTCAGCAGTACGACTTCGCCTTCAGACATTGGTTTTGTTGCTTTTAGTCTTACCGCTCTTCAACCAACCTGTCTGGCATGGTAGGACCTTGAGGAACGGTTGTTCCAGCGAGTATAGCCAGCAAGTCCGACCACCACATCAAGGTAGCAACAACGGTCGGGTAAAAGAAAATCATCTTATAAGGAATAAAATAATAGAAACAAAAGATGATGATGATGATGTTTCCTATGATATACCATAATCGAATATATCGTTTATAGAAAGATAAATAACATAACCAATGAATTCTTTATCAATTGTACTATAATACGATAATCATTTTGTTAATAATCATATCATGATATTCATAAAATTAATATTGTCTTTAAATAAACAAAATAGATTATTATAAAGAAAATTAAAGAAAATAAACTATTCTATGTCTGGATTAGCATGACCTGAAAGCACTGAAGCCGCATATTGAACATAAATACGATATGGATCAATAATATCAGTAACAAATGATTGTTTTCGCATTGTATCTAAAAATTCAGTTAATTTTGAAAATTCTTTACGTAATTCATCATTATCATCTAATTCATTGATTTCTTCTGGTTTCTTACCAGTTATTCGACCCATAATTACTTCGAATCGATGCAAATGTGGGAACAAGATCAGATCGGCTAGACTTAATTCAGGACCTTAAAAGAAAAAAAAAATACAACTTGACAGCAAAAAGTAGTTAGATTGAAAGACTATTGAAAATCTCTATGACAAGACCAGAATCCTTGGATATTGACTAGGATATATCCTATGACAAAACACAATCTAAATTGTAATATTTCCATCGTTTGACTAAACAGATAGACGACGATTACCAATGTTTGTATAAGCTACAAACATGTAACGAATAAGAAGGGAATCTGGAAACTGATTTAGGAGTATGGGAACGATGATTTTCGAAGAAAACATCTGCGTATAGCATGATGTTACAGTAATACTTAAAGAAATATATTGAAGCCAGCACCTCTGTTAACTAGTTATTGACCTCATAAACAGGTCAAACGAAGTGCTATTCGATAAAAGTAATCAATAAATTTGTCAGAATATACCTGAATTCGTAGAATAAAGACTCAAGCTCAAGACCTATGGCAAGAGGAAGAGTGAACGCATTTGCACAACCATTGTAACCGATTCTGAAACATTTCATTCAAAATCTCCAACGATTGGTTGTGATAGTCGCGTGGACCGCAACCAGACAATCTGCACCCATCAACACATCTCAGTCGAACAGTAAGAGACTTCATGGAATGATACAATGTCTTGGCTCGGGAGTGTCTAGCTTTCTCTCAATTTACTTCTACACTAGCAATCACTGGTCGTTGAGTGTAGTGGTGGTTGTGATGGTTGGAGATACGTAATACATATCTGAACCGTCTCAGTTGATGAAGATTTACCATCTCTTTAGTAGATTAACCACCTTTACTTATTATCGTGCATCTGATTCCAGATTAGTCCACTCAATGATCTTAACATAGGGGAGTAATGATTTAATGAACAAATAAACATGTTTATAGCTGTTAACTAAGTATTCTACTAATTGAAGAACGTAGAAACCAACTACTTATCATAATTTCACACCAGAATCATAAAATTGGATTCGCTAAAAACTTGTAGCATAAGCTCATATCAAGTTAGTATCTGTTGGATGGAGTGATAAAAGCATTAAAAAACCGTAGGCGTTTAGTGAAGTAATTTTTACAGATTTAAAGTTTAAATTATCAGTTAATATCAACAAAATCTTGTTTCACTGTTTCCCAGGTCTCTTTCGAACACATATGGAGTACATCCTATTGTAACTTAATGACTAAAATATATTATGCCTTTCATGAGGTTAATAGTAATTGGCTTTCAATAATATTCCATTTAAGATCAGTTCTATTTTGATGGAGTTTTGTTCTTTGAACTAGATGGTTTGGTCGTTCACCTTTCATCGGTTCTTCTGAACGACATCATCTGCACAAATTTTAGGTAGATGTGACGTGTTCGAATTTCTCCACATATGGCTTACAGCTTGTCCTGTAGATCTCGATGTTGATTGGTTATTGTTGACCTTAAACCTGTCATTGTTTACTTCTTTGTTTTGGTTGTATCTCCCATTGCTGATGACGTCGTTCAGATGAACAATGAAAGTTCCAAAACTAAACCATCCAACTTCGACAACAAAATTCCATAAAAATCATCCATCTTTTTCACCATCTCAAGATCAGTTCTATTTTAAAGTATAATATAATTGAAGATTGATATAGATTGAGACAAAACTTTACTTCATTGCGTCAAATTGTTTTGAAAATTTTTTTAGTGATTCTAAATTAAACTCAATCCACAGTAAAATTCATAAATATTTTAACTTCGGTCCAGCAGATCACATTACAATTAAACATTCATTCGGACGTTTATTTTCTTGTGTAGTGTGAAATAGCCACAAGAACTGAACAATATAAAAGTCTTTATTATCATTAACACAGATGAAAATCATCAAAACTCCAACGAGTATCGAACATACAAGACTTGGAAGTCTAGGAGATGGCACCATTAGATCTTAGGTTGAGAGATTAAACACTTGTTGTGAGACCTGAAGGTGATGGGTTCGATTCCTATCGAATTCATGCATGTACATTGTTGGGAAGTACTATACTAGGTCATCCAGCATGACAGTGATGCTGCCTCCTCATAAGAAGGGGTGTGGTTAGAAAAGGTTGACCCTAAAAATACACACCTCGCCTTATCCCACTGATATCCGTCTCCGGCGGTAAGGTCTCAACAAATACGGAGCTAACACGAAAATTACTCATAAAATGGTCATAGATGATTGATCTCAAGCAGTTGTCCCTTGGGCACTGCGGTCACACTATCAGGTCACTAAGACTACCTTTAATCCAATTTCATTCTCAGGTACCTCTTGAAGAACCCTTCCATGTTGTGAGCGACCGGGAATTGATAACTTCCCTCATTCCTTTAACAATACTTAAGACCACTGACTGACTAATACTAGGTCAAAACGGCCATTCAGTGTTTCACGATTTCAGTGATTGCCTAAGAAAAGTCAATTCATGAGATAAACTATAAAATTTAACAAGTCTTCAAATAGTCTTCTTATGAATTATTGAATTGTTGGAGATAAATTAAAGTAGATAATTGAAAAAAAGGATTACTGGTTATTACTAACTATTGTAGCAATAATAACTAATCTAATTACATATTTATCATGAAACTAAATAAATTGAATTACCAGTAAAATATGGACCTTTGATAGCGTCATTTATCTTTTTGCATGCTGCTCGATACAGTGATACATCACATAGATTCATTTCAGGCACACACATAATCATATAACTTGGTCTCGATATCTAGATAATAAAAAGGATATATATATTATATATATATATATATATATATATATATATATATATATATATATATATATATATGCATTAAGTAAAACTATAGTGCATAAATAAAAGTTATGTTATGGTATGGTCGAGGGTGGGGAGAGTCATCTCTCCCTCCCCAAATGCTCTCACATGGCCACGAAAAGCGCACGTCCGACGCAATAACCGGGTTAGTAGATATGGAACATTCACCTAAGGGAGTTAAAAAACCCTCATTCAAAACCAATGATGCACATGGGTTCCAGCATCCTCAGGGAACGAATGGAGTATGAACCTAATGTTGGTCACCGTCGACCATGAGAGTGCACCTTCCAAACTTGCTCCACTATTGCCTTGTGGATTAGACCTGTAGGTCAAAGGCTCGAGGAGTGGTTCACTATGAAAACTACCTGCCTCAGTTTCGGAGTCTGAACAGTAATCCAGCTTTCATACAAATCGAATGACGAAGTGTGACGCATATGTATTTGTATCAATGTTTATGTGTTTAAATAAATAAAGTGTTAATGTGGTGTATGCTACTTATGTCTCTCAACATAAGTGGTATGTAACAACAATCAGAAGTGGAATGTATTACAGCAGAAGGTTAAAAACATCGAATTGAAGAGAACGGGAATGTAAACAGAGAATAATATCAATGAAAGAACGATGAAGTTCAGTTTTTATATTTTACTAAATAACTCTATAATTTTGCATCAAACAACAAATTGATCTTCCCCACATGTTTAGCGAATAAATACTAATTTTCAGTTAGTTCCTCAATCAATTAACCAGATACAATTTCGGACCTGAAACATACATACATCAGTTCAAGTTGCTATGGAAGTACTGTTTTGTTCTAGTATGGGACTCCTCCGCAGTGCGCTTCAATTGGCTTATGAATTCAATTATAACTAGAATTTCCACAAAACCCCCATCTGATAATAATCATCATATGCTCACTAGTGAGAAGCAGTGACTAGTGGAGTTCAACTGGTACTGTTATGAGATAGTAACTCACTGAAGACAATGGTTGACGGTGTCTCAATTTCGTGGATTGGTTGAATTTAGACGTTATCACCATCGGATATCAGCTCAGTGGTCTAAAAGCTAAGTGCTCCCGTGCGAAACTGATCGGTCCTGGGTTCGAATCTCACGAGGTGGGATAGTGTATGCGCACTGCTAAAGAGTCCCATACTAGAACGAAACAGCCATCCAGTGTTTTTAAGTTTTTCATGGTGGTCTAGATTTAATTAACTCATGAATTTAACTATAGAGTAACTAAAATCTCTACAAAACTCCCATCCGTTAATATTCTCTTTTTACCGATAATTTTACGCATGAATATAATCTTTAGAACTCTTGCTACTGACAAACTTATATCCCATTTTTGCTAAATACATTAGATTTTATCATATCCTTACATCAGTAGGTCAAATATATATTGAAAATATAGTAAAGTTATTAAAAGAAATTATGTTTAGAAACTAAAAGGTACTAATAACATTGTTTTTCACTAAATTGTATTGGATCCGGTTGATCAGTAAATGGTTTTTGAAAAAAAAAATTATTTCTTCTAAAATCGATTGTAAACTGTTAGTTTGATGTAGTCGATAGGATACATTGCTCAATTGAGGTTTTGTGCTATTTGGCACTTGTCATAAAGGTTCACAAGTAATATTGAGGGAGCTGACGATCTCTGGCAAATTCTATCATATATCATCTAACTTCAAACTCAAAGATATTAACACTGAGGTAAACTGGTCATGATTAACCTCTCATAGGACTGAGACATATTAAAGATTACATAGTAGTTTTACAAAAGTCTTGAAGATATTTTTTTTCTACCTTAAATAAATCTAATACCTGGGTTCATTACAAATGAAGAATTCATTTGATTGGTTACGATAAACTGTGCAACGGTTTTAACTTTAACATAGATTGATGATGTTATCAATACAAAAACGAAAACAAGAAATGCCATAAAGTAGTAATCCATGAAATGAAATTCTAAACACTGGAATATGAATGCTATAAACTACATAATACCAACTACAAAAAGATAGATTAATGGATAGAACTCAGACGAGACATACATCTTAGAACTGATGACACTGACTTTTTGACATAAATTACAATGTTGTATCGTCATAATTATTCATAAATGAAATAACCAACCGTTATTGCCATTTGATTGTATTAACAATAAATATTAACTGGATCATTTATGGTATTTTTTTATTATTAAATAAGTACTTTGTTTGACTCAATATGATGTTTTAAGAGAATCTGTCGTTAGGCGTTAGGTAACTTTGCAGAGGTATAGGTAAGAACATTTAAGTCTCATGATACAAGCTTATATTAAGATATCAACACTATTAAAGACATAAAAAAACTATACAAGTTATGAGGATAAACAGAATTCTTAATGTTTCAACAGATGATATTAACGATGATTATCAATTTATGTGATATATACCACTACCAGGGAAGTCGTACTTACTGCCTCTTCGTAACAAAGATGTCATTTGTGAAATTCAGAGGACGAAAAGCGGACATCCAGTCCACAAACCGGGTTGGTGAATATGGAGCATCCATCTAGGAGAGTTGGAAAACACTCATTCCAAACGAATGGTGCACATTGGTTCCAGGATCCTAAGGTAACATATGGCACATGAACCTATTGTTGGTCACCGGCTACCATGAGACTGTATCTCTTAACGTTGCTCCACTACCTTGTGGATTAGATTTCTATATAAAAGGTTTGAGTAGTGGCCCTTTAAGAAGATCACCTGATTCAGTTTTAGCATATGGCAAGTATTCTAGCACACACACACAAATTGTCTACCGTGCATATATATTTTGGTGCAGCTATGTACCGATATTTGTGTATTTAAGTAAATAAATAATAAATTGATGGCCAATTTCTAACAACGCATTTGATAAGGAGAGAAAAATCATTTTTAAATATTGGACATAATTTACTTGGTGTTGTGTCTAAATTGGTCAATTACAATCCCGATTGTAATTTCCCTACATAAAGCACGCTATTCCGTCTATAACCTAGTGCCATAAACCTTGACCAAAGGTATATTTCAATAGACTATCGGGCCGTCAATTCATGGTCTTACACACAAAAATAAGAGGGAATAGCAACCAAGCTTCCATTATTCATATTTCAAGTATATATGAGTTTATATACAAACATACCGGAATACATCATTACACTATTAAATAGAAAATTATAGTTATACACAAACGGGTTAACTATGACAGTGAATCGGGCAAGGTGTAGTTAATTGTTTAGCAATAATTTCAGAATAATAAAACGTACAGTAATAGTTAGTGGGTCAAGTGGAAGCCTACAATAAACGGAATATAGAAAAAATATTAGTTCAGTTATCTGGTAATTATACAATAAGAATATATATAATAGTCCATATGATAGTTTAGATCGTTACCATTATTATCATTATTTAAACACGAAAACATTGGTACAAGAATGCACCAAATAGATGTGCTCAACACAAATCATTCGATTTGTGTGTGGGCTGTGATACTATCCGGGCGCTCAAATCGAATCACGTGGCTTTTTTAAGGAGTCACACCCCGAGCCTTCGACTTGAAGGTCTAATCTACGATGCAGTGGAGCAACGTCAAGAGATGCAGTCCCATGGTAGCCGGTGATCAACAATCGGTTTATACGCTGTTTGTTCCCTCAGGATACTGTAGTCCATGTACACTACTGGTTTGAAACCAGGGTTTTTCAACTCCCCCGGGTGGATGCTCTGTATTCACCAACCTGGTCAAAGCGCCGGACATTTGCTTTTCCTCCTTTCAATTTCGTAAACAACACCCCCGTCGTCGTGAGAAGGCAGTGAGTAGGACTTCCCTAGCAGTGGTTGTATACACGTCGCCATGTAAGAGTATTTCGAGGGAGAGAGAACTGACTCTCCCTACTCTCAACCGTATTATTCTTTATTTTATTACATCATATAATAACCCTAATGTTGTACAAAAACAAAGAACATAATGAATATAATTATAAATCGATTAGATAATAAAAAGAAGATACATCTTTACTGATACTTCTTCTATGTCATTATTTAAATAATAAAACTATTTAACACTTACATCAGTAATAAGTTCTTTAGCTTTTTCAAATTCTTCAATACCACAATGTGATAATAAAGTATTAGAACCATATAATTGATCTAGATGACGTATAATCACATCGGATTCTGGTAATTTTTGTTCATTTGGTAATAATAATAAAGGAACTTTGCCAGTTGGATACATTTCTAAAAACCATTCAGGTTTTGAAGCCAATGAAATATTTATAAGATCATAACTGTGTTGAGATGGGAGAAAGAGAGAGAGAGAGAGAGAGAGGAAGAGAAAGAAAGAAAGCAAGTAACAATATCATATCTATTACAAATGTAATAAAACAATGACAAACAAGTTTATGTTATGGATTAAAATTGTTAAAGGATATTTGAATATTGTTCATTTAATGAAGTCAAATGATAAGATCAACTGATTGATAATATGCAATGATACATAACTCCAGGTCAACTGATATCATAGGATAAGGCAACTGACTAGTAAAATAGAGGCTTTTCTATACAATAGAATAACATGCTCATGTATTGTAAAACATTAACATAAACTAAAAAGCATGAATAATTTGAGAAAATTCAATGTAAGTAGGTTATTTGAACAAAAAAAAAATTGGACAGAACTGGAAAATAAGACCCAGGATAGAGTAGGTTGGAGAATGCTGGTCGGTGGCCTATGCTCCATTAGGAATAACAGGAGTAAGTAAGGTTGCTCACCCTCTAATGTATTGAAACCTTGTCTAATATAATATTAATTCCACTCAATTCCTTCCAAGGAATTTACATTAAAAGATGAGACAGTTAAAAGTATACTTTATTTTTTTGAAACAATCATTCATTAACTATTACAAAATACAAAACTCTTTGATTTCGATTAATTGCACTGATTGTTTCTAGGCACAACATTGAATTTCAATATAATTTATAATCATTGTTGTAACTCTATCAACTTAAAAACAGATTTAAAATAATTTGGTAACATAAAAGAGAATCATGAACGGAAGCGGAATAGAGGAAGATCAAAGAACACATTACGTCAGGAAATAGAAGAGCTGGAAAGGATTGCCCAGAACAGGGTTGAATGGAGAGTGCTGGTGGACGACCTATGCTCATCCACGTGGAGTAACAAATTTGATTGTTGACAACAGTAACTCCCTGTTAAAACCGAAAATATTATAGTATGGTTTGAGCCTACAACTACTGGTTCACAAGCTATGAATGAAACAACATTGAAGAAAAAGGGCAATTTAATGAAAAATTTCTTTTCCATGACTTCATCTACTTAAGCTGTACAATCGTATATATAGTTAATGTTATTTGACCGTGGGAAGCAGGTTATATAGCGCACACAAAGTGACCTCTTTCAAAACACATTTCCAAACATCGCCTTGCCTGGAACTTCAAAGGATTACAGAATTCAGTCAAAAGCTTAATCTTGGAGCTTCTAGACAATTCTGGTCATTCCGACTCACCAGAAGCCTCCTTCAAAATCATACATACATTTAGAAGAGTTGGCTCAACAGAAATATAAATGAAAAACTTATGAACAGAAGAGGCTATTGCTACCCACTAGTTTAAGTATAACATTCTTCCATGGTCTTAACCTTCCTTCCATAATCTGTCGTTTCTCTTAAATTATTAGTTCTACTCCTTTCCAATTGTTCTCAAAACTATTACTTAGCCACTATTACAACTTTTAATTATTCTGTTCTTAATTGCCACTAAGGTGACAATTATCTTCACTTTACAGTTCTTCACTAGACAATTATTATATAACTTCCTTTCAATATCTAATTTTCGTAAACAATTCATAACAAGATACCACATCAAGTTTCTAAATATTCAACACTAATTTACTTTAATAGTTGAATTCATGAGTCAATTGAAGCTAGACTACCATAAAAAACCTGGAAGCACTAGACGAGCGTTTCGTCCTCGTATGAGACTTCTCAGCAGTGCTCATCCACGATCTCGTCTCGCGAGATTCTGTTCTACTATAGACCATTATTTTAGCAAATAAAATGAACTATAAATACAATTGTACAGATTAAGTAGGCGAAATCGTCGAAAAAATGTGTTCTTCACTGAATTATCCTTTTTCCTTCTTCAATGACACAATGATTCTTATTCGTTAAACATTGATTGAAATTTCGCTATTACATATGTAAAATATCTGAGAATAAATTTTCTAGCAAACAGTTAAAAGACTGAAAGAAGGACCTGACATATATGACATTGATCACCACCCAGTGATCAATCAATTGTGAGTACATCTCAGTCATATAGGAGGTCAGTTTCGGCCCGGATAGCTTAGTGGTAACGTCTCTGACTATGAAGCTGGATGACACGAGATCGAGGAATCCTCCAGAAAGCATCAGTTACCTCATGATTACAGATACATGCTTTTGACGAGTATCAATTAGCACAAAACCTAAGTTAAGTAGGGTTTCCTATCGACTGAACATCATTAAAGCACACAACCAGCTTTAACGGAAACAATCGTCCCTCAGTACCTCGTCACAACCTTCCCAGTCATCAATCACCAAGAGTTACCATCTTAAGAACGTGTTCCTTATATAATTTCTGTAGCTAAGCACTGAGAATAGTCTTTCATAAAAAAAAGGTAAATGTGTTTCAAAATTTCAGGACAAAAAGTCAACAGATTCCCATAATTTTAACTAATCTTCATTATTGTAATCTAATTCATTTACCAAGTACACATCTATTTATTAGGTTTTCAGTCACATTATTTATGTGAGCACAAGTGAAACCATTCAGCTGCCCAAATAAACATAAGTAAATTAGGATTCAGAGTCATAACCAAGTAGCGAAGAATAAGTATTTTAACTACTAAGCCATAGTTGGTTAGGATATTTCAACTTAATTACACAGTTTATGACAATATTGTAAATTCTTTGAAGATATCTATAATTAAGTACTCGTAAAGAAAACACCTACTTTAACGTTTCACAACCTAAAACGGAGAAAAATATTAGGTAATATGCTACAATAAGCACAAGCCAACAAAAATCGAAAGCATTTTAGTATATTCCCTGAGATATCTTCAACAATCCACTAGAGTTGCTGCATATTCCAACATAAAGTGAATTAGTCACCAGATCAACTACTTCATTTGCTGTTACCATATTTATCCAAGAAGACTCTAACGTCTGCACATCTTTAGATCTAAACTTCAAACAGTAGATTAATCCTTAAAGTATTAAACAAAGCTTTTAGTCTAAGAACATATCCGTGGGAATGCTGAATAAAAGTGAGAAGACTGAACAACGTCGACAAACACTCCTTTACATAGTTACCATGTGCTCAGTAGTGACTAGCTTCATGAGGGAATTCTCGGAGTTCTAATGAGAAGCCGTGATCAGTGGAGCTAATCCGTGTCGGGTAGAGACAGGTATCTACCTCAGTACAATGGAAGGTGGTCGCGCAATTTCGTGGTTTGGTTGAGGTTAGAAATTAACACCGATGAATTCCGGCCAGTGGTCTAGAGGTTAAGCGTTCGCGCGAGACCGAACGACCTGGGTTCGAATCCCGTGAGCGGGATCGTGGATGCGTACTGCTGAGGAGTCCCCAAAATAGAACGAAACGGCCGTTCAGTGCTTCCAGGTTTTCAATGGTGGTCTAACATCAGTCGGTTCATAATATCAATTAACTTTAAAAAAATGACTTATTGTACGATATTTACTGAATAATGTCACGGGACCATCTTAGATTGAAGGATTTAAGGGCCAATTTTGTACAAAGGAATATGATTATATTTAGTGCCAGGAAATATTGAGTAAGTATAAATATCCATAACACACTTTTCACTGCTATATAGTCCCAGACCAATCGAAACTCACTTGAATATGAAACTGTGAAACGCTTATGTATTGATGAGAATATCGTCAGAAGTCCAGAATATAAAACTAAACTCGAGGAAGAAAAGAAGCCTTAAGAAACATCCGTTGAAATGAATAAATTCATATGAATAATCCAAAAGACAATGACACAATATCCGAAGTATTTTTCTGAAATTCTCGTTTAGAGTAGCATTTCTAAGCATAAATGTTGGTGATACTAGAAAACATTAATCATACATATTGATCGAATCTGTATGTTGCCGGTTTATGTCATTATGCTCTAGGTGTCCTGAATTCGACCTGAACTAATAACTTTATTACTAGATGTATACTTGAAAAATTAATGTATGCATACATAGAAAATCCAGATCGATTTTATTGATTTATGTTGTTAGTGGTACAAGGAGTCAGTCAGCTACAACGTAGGACCAGGCACATATATGCATCGGTCCAAGTAACCACACCTCATTAGCACAGTAAGATGAACACCGAATTCATAGTGGTTAATTCAATGGTGGTAATATATAAAAGAAAGATTGCATATAAGGATACAGTACACGAAGAAAGAATTAGTTCGTAGAAAGATATAAAGCGATTTTAATCTCATACTTTAAGGGAAGACACAAAGTGTATACACCTACGCCGTTGTGATCGATTCTGAGTCATGTCACACACACAGTCTACAACCACTGGTTGTGATAGTCATGCGGACCATAACGAAGTAGTCTACATCTACCATCATGACTACAAGTTAGTAACTTCAAGCACTGATGCCACGTTTTGGTTTGGCCGTTCCTAACTTTCTTCCAACCATCCCCAACACTAGTCAGTCAGCATTGCACGTCGTGGTAATCGGTGTTCAGACATAAGTAACGCGTGGCTCAACCATCTCAGTCGATGAAGATTCACAACCTCATCAACTGATTTACCATCATTCCCTAATACCCTGTATCAGTCTAACCTCACTATTACTTGCCCGGTGATCCCAGCAGATGCAAGCAATATTTCTAAGATATCTGAGTATCTTGTACTCTTAATAGTCACGTTTCGTATCCGTAAAGTAAAACAGAACGAACTGCCGCGTAGTATACTCGTCTTTTATTGGACAGACGGATATCTCGCCTTCGCCATAGGTGATGTAAGTTGGCAAAAGCCAAATGACTTTTCCTAATCTGTGCTGAGATTTTGTCAAACACCAACCCATTTGGGCTGACCAAACTTCCAAGATATGTGAAGTTGTCAACGCGTTTGACTACTTTACACCCTATCCTTGTAGTTTAGGTGTTGACGCAGGTCAGTCCTGAAGCAACAACTTGTATTTAGAGACGGAAAAAGCGTATTTCAAACATTCTGACATCGTTGTTCAGTGCTATTAAAACACTCTGCATTTGATCAGCATCTTCACCAAACAGGACTATATCATCTGAGTATTCTAAGTCGATAAGTGGACCTCCTCGTAGGAGATTAATCCGTGGTACAAGGAAGTACTACTAAATTGGATTAATATGAAATGATATTACAATAATTAGGAACTAACTCAAAAGTTTCATTAATATCTTATAGAAAAATAAAGAATATCCATGAACAACTATAGATTTCACTGGTTGAAATCATGATTCAATTGAAGCTAGACTACCATGGAAAACCTGGAAGCATTGGATGGCCTTTTCCAGTATTTCCAGGTTTTCCATGGTGGTCTAGCTTCAATTGAATCATGATTTCAACCAATGAAATTTCTAAAAATTTCCACACAACCCCTTCTGATAATAACTATAGATTTGTATATTATTCCTAGATCTAATATTTTGTACACTTTTCTGGACAGAAAATAAGTTATTTATCATTTCAATTAATTGAACTTATTATATATATATGTAAAATAGAATCTGTAAACTATGTGATAACCGAAACAGTTTTGATAAACTATTTTTAACAAAAAAACTTATTACAATTCACTATTAAGGCTAATAGTAATGCATTAATTATATAATGTAAACTAATATGAACATATTTACACTCAATGACATGATTAATATTATTGTGTGAAATAAACAATATAGACATATTATAAGATTAATTTATCCAGTTTATATCATACTGATTAATTCTAATACAAATTTACATGAATATTACAGATTATTATTATTATTATCAAAATGACAAATATACTGTAATCCTGAATGGGCTCGAACTTTACCTTCAAATGTTCTCACATAGCCACGTGCGTACAACCAATGCCACTAAAGTCCTAATCACTGTTTTCTAGCGGCATTACTGTTGTTTACGAAATTGAGAGGACGAAATGCGAATGGTCGGCAATTTAACCGTGTTGGTGAACACGTAGAGTCTACCTAGGGGAGTTGGGGAACTCTAATTCCAAACCAATGATACACATGGGCTCCAGGATCCTTAGGGAAAGAATAGAGTATGAACTTATTGTTGGTCACCGGCTACCATGGGACTGCATCTCCTGACGTTGCTCCACTACCATGTAGATCAGACCTTTAGGTCAAAGGCTCGAGGTGTGGCCCCTTCTGAAAACCGCCTGCTTCGGTTTGGGCAACTGGGCAGTAACCCAGTCTTCATACAAATCGAATGATTTATGTGGCGCATATATCTTTGGTGTCTCTTTGTACATAGCATATGGACGATAAGTTGGAAGTTGAACACCTAAAATGGCTTCAGTATTAATAAGTAAGTAAGTATTCAATTACAAAATGATTATTTCATCAGAAAGCATTTATTTGAAAATGGTTATTTTGACTGAAGGCTGTAAGCTATATTATTTACTATAGCACTGACAATGCTTTAGAAGACAGTGTCTGAAATAAATAAACCTGCCGCCATCGCTTCTTATTTATTTAAATACATAAACACTGATACAAGGAGGCAACAAATAGATATGCGCCACATAAATCATTCGATTTGTATGAAGACTGGGTTACTGCCCAGTTGCCCAAACCGAAGCAGGCGGTTTTCAGAAGGGGCCACACCTCGAGCCTTTGACCTAAAGGTCTGATCTACATGGTAGTGGAGCAACGTCAGGAGATGCAGTCCCATGGTAGCCGGTGACCAACAATAAGTTCATACTCTATTCTTTCCTTAAGGATCCTGGAGCCCATGTGTATCATTGGTTTGGAATTAGAGTTCCCCAACTCCCCTAGGTAGACTCTACGTGTTCAGCAACACGGTTAAATTGCCGACCATTCGCATTTCGTCCTCTCAATTTCGTAAACAACAGTAATGCCGCTAGAAAACAGTGATTAGGACTTTAGTGGCATTGGTTGTACGCACGTGGCCATGTGAGAGTATTTCGAGAGAGAGAGCTGACTCTCTCCATCCTCGGTCGTACCAGGGCATTTGAAGGTTTCGTTATTGGTCGATATGTTTATGTTTTATACAGATTCAACTCTATAAATCTGTCATGTAATTAATCTACTATTTTCTAAACGAAAAGGTTTCATCATAAATTAAGTCGAGCTTTAGAATACAGGTCACATCGTTAATTTGTATTTACAATAAAATAAACGTGACTTGAATTCTAATGAATGTATTTATTTACTTGTCACATCTACACTAAATGCTTACACACTATGTTATTGTTAACATAAAGGATTATGTTGAAAAAACTGACTGGGTGATTATCAGCCAACTAGAGCTGGATGATAATCAGAATAGACTCACGAATCTTCCTGTGTAAAATTATAAATATACTAACATTTTTCTTACTGTGATTCACTTTCATTTAACTTGATTTATTTGGAGTATAATTACGTACCTGTTCAAGCTGTGTTATGATTTGAGAGACTAATCGAGTGAAGCAAAGTGCCCGAAAAATACTAAGCAATGAGGGTATCTGGTTTGGATAACTAAACGCTTAACAGTTGTGATTGTTAAATTTAGAGAATCTAAGGGTGTTGAGTAAAATAAAAAGGAACCTTAGAGGGAATTTTGTATTACTAATCTGACTACAGGATAGTAATGATTGTTTTTCGTAGTTGTCCTTAGTTAAACAATCGTTATGAATATTCATTTAGAATAAGTTACTAAAGGAAAACGTTTTAACGAGCAACTACCACTAGTACTAACCAAGCCGTAATGAATGACAACTGTACAATTATCAGCTATTACATTCGTTTTATCGTACAAAATTCAATGACCAAATGTAGCCTTGTTTGTTAGAATCTTGTTGAAACTATATTTTTTGTGTGATCATGGTTAGTTATCAATTATTCGAACTGAACTGACGTGGCAGTACAAAATGTATCACAATTGATTGATCACTGGGTGGTGACCAATGTCATACGTGTCTAGTCCTTACTATTGCAACATGATCGATAGCATTCGATCTGCACTAATAATAAGGACTACACATGCATAACATTGGTCACAACCCAGTGATCGATCAATCGTAAACACATCTCAGTCCTACAGGAGGACGGTCGCGGCCCGGATACCTCAGTGGTAACGTCTCTGACTGTGAAGCTGGGTGACACGGGATCGAATCCTCCAGGGAGCATCAGTTCCCTCAAAGATTACAGGTACACCTTGCTGAAGTGTGCCAAGTAGCACGAAATCCGGGTCCAGGGTTTCCTGTCGACTACCTTCAACCACCATCTAACAAAATGTGTCGTTAAAACAGTACTAAATAAAATATTTTTTGCGATATTCCAATGGATAGAAATTTGTATTTCCGACGTTTTGTGAACTAATCTAATTCACTTCTTCAGAGTAAATAAATAACCGAAATAGAATCAACACAACTTTAAATAGTACATAATGGTAGACAAGTTTATTTGTTCATGTGTGCCATCAAATCATTACTCCCCTATGTTGGGATCATCAAGTGGAAAAAGCTGAAATAAGATGCACGATATTGAGTAAAGGTGGTTAATCTACTAAAGGGATGGTAAATATTCATCAACTGAGACGGCTCAGATATGTATTACGTATCTCCAACCATCACAACCACCACCACACTCAACGAGCGGTGATTGCTAGTGCAAGAGTAGATTGTGAGAAAGTTTGACATGCCCGAACCAAGACACTGTGTCATTCCATGAAGTCTCTTACTGTTCGACCGAGATGTGTTGGTGAGTGCAGATTGTCTGGTTGCGGTCCACGCGACTATCACAACCAATCGTTGGAGATTTTGAGGGAAATGTTTCAGAATCGGTTACAATGGTTGTGCAAATGCGTTCACTCCTCGTCTTGCCTTTGATCTTGAGCTTTGAAAGTATTTTATAGTCTTTATTCTATGAATTCACTTTCTCTTCTCGAATCATATTCTCTATGTTTACTGTTTTGCACTACCACAAATACTGTTCCTACTACTCTGGTATTTGTCTGAGTAAATTTATTTGGTTGTGTTGGTGTGGTGTGACAACTTGGATGGATGCACGTATGTGCTAGGCTCTACGTTGCTTATAACTGACTGACCGACCGACCGTTGATTACCTTGATATGGTAGGCAAAGGAGCACGCTAAACTAAAATAACTAATAATATCTTCATTTAAAGAAAGCCTGACAGGTTTTGAGTCATCTCAACTAAGTCAATGTATTAGCTACACAGACGTACCTTTAACTGCGTAGTGTTAACTGCTAACGTTAAATTATGGGCCAATGATGTGATAGAAATCAATGTCGTTTACTTTGAGGTGAATTTTAAGTGTCGAATAGATTTTACTAGAATCAAATGTCTTATACGGATATTATACTTACTCAATCTTGTAGTAACTCAGTATTAGTCTGACGCGATCAACATAAGGGCAAAATCTGAATCCAATGAGAGTTAAGCGATTAGGATCAATCAGTGGTTTAGGGTCATCTGTTAAAAAAGAGGATATGAATTCAGTTAAAAAGTGATTTTTGTCAGTATCTATTTTGGCAATACAAAGTGGAATAGTGTATTTCGGGCATTCTATTTATTTGTATATCTGCATCACTTCTGATGTGTGGTTGACAACTGAAACTTCATCACCTAAACGGAGGTCGTTTTCATAGAAACTGGACGACTTGAAAGAATTAAGAATGTTTTTAAAGTACTGCTGGTTAACAACAGAACCAACAAGTAACCTATGCCGATTAAGCTTAGCTCACAGAAAATGTAAGTCTATTTGTGGGGTTCCATATCATTTGACGGGAGTATCGAGAGGACAAAAACATGAATTAAGCATACGATTACTAACTGTTGACTGGATCTCAGTAATCTTATTTGTTTGTGCCCTCAATATTGTCTCAGAACTTGGTATTACGATTAAACAGCGCTTGAAATATAACGGAACCACTCACTTTTAATGGTTTTGGCTTTTACGAAACCAAGATTTGAGGACTGTTTCACTTGTGAACAGCAGGTTCTATTGACTTTATTACAAGGTAATCCAGTCCGGCAAAAACGTGTATGATTTTTTATGTAAAAGATCTAACCAACCATATAAAAGAATCCGGAAAGTCAATGAGCAAAACACAACCAAGATGAAAGCAGCAGTTACGTCTAGGAACTGACGATAGCCAATTTATATTACGCAAGACACAATAATTAAGATGCTTGGTCTTAGTAACACTGATAATAAGGGTACCGACAGCACCTAAATTTTCCTGAAAGTCTGAGTAAAAGACTTTAGGCTGTATATCTGGCTTTATGAAGGAAAGTTCGTCAAAATGAGATGATAGACCTTTGTGCTACACACTTTTAAAAATGAATTATGTGGTTTGTGTGAGAATAATTGGATTTCAAGTCTTCTGTTGTGTTAAAACTAGGGGGTCTCCTTCATATAGTATTGATTGAGCTGAATACATGAAAAATTGACTACAAATGAGTCGGTTAGGTTTTTTAAATCATGGACGTGACGACTACCTATTAACTTTGTGCTATATGCTTGAAAATTGAAAAATTATAGACCGATAGTTATATTTCTCAGAATCAAGAGTGACTACACATAATCGAACAAGATCATATTCTAAAACTAAACTTTGGGGGACTTTTCGTACAATGTCTATTAACGTCCTTAAAAAAGCATTACGTATGATGAAAAATGTAGCCACTTTTTCCCACTGTTGAGAACCAGTAGTGAAGTCACGAAAAGTTGTATACCGTCATTCTTTTTCAAATTTCTTGTGAATCAAATTTTGGAAGCAAGTTTAAACGATTTAAGCAGTGGCGGTGTAATTCTGTTGTCCTTAAAAATATCTTAATCACCTTGCGACTAGCTACAGCTTACGAATAACTAACCCTATATTCCTGCGACTACTAGAAATACTCGGTTAATAGTGTAGTTAACCATCACTTCTGTAAAAAGCTGCTCATAACTTGAATTACAGTTTAGTATCAATAGTTACTTGTAACTCCATTGCTAAGTGCAACTTCGAGTAGGATGTCTACTCACGTCAAACGGCCAAGACAATATGTCATGAGTTATATATGTTCGTTTGTCATCCCTACGAAAGTTTGGAAATAACGAAATAATGCGTATATGATAAATTAGAAATCAATTCCTGCCAGTTATCAAAAAATTAAACCACTGTAAGGGCATCTTAAAGTAACATACTTCGTTTGAGGTGCATTATTGTAAATAATCTTCAAACGCTAGTTGAGATGTTTGATCGACAACTAGAGCTGTACTGACAAAAGTATAGTCTGCGAATGAAAATGCAGAACGATTAGAGATAGCAAAAGAAATCGATATAAAAAAACTGACTTTAAAGAATTGGGAACTCAACTATGTAGATTACAATGAACGAGCTTATCTAAATGTATTTACAACCTCCCACTGATAATTTGTTTGTGACCTAAATTTAAGTGAGAAACATATGAACCACAGGGAATAGTGACTTAAGACTACTTAATTAAGATACACGGTCACCAGTCAAATTCGTTAGGTCTAAGATATATTACCCAAATTTATATGCACAGCAGAAACACTAGGTACGTTAGGTGGTAATGCTACTTTGGTACATGCGACTGTCATATTTGTTCATTTCGATATATTTCTATAAAATTTCGTAAATTGCTATTTCTCCTAGCATGAACATTTTAAAACCAACACAAATATTTGATGCTCAGCCTACTGAAATTCAGATCATTTTGAATGGTTCATCCATTAATTTTAAAACTCTCCTGTGAATTTCCATATAGTACTGTATGGAAGATGTTTGTCATCCCTACTACTTATTCTAGGTCCTGTGGTTAGACTATAATTTATGGACATTTGAGCGACGCCGAGGTGACCTTGAGAGCGAACAACTACTAATTAGGGCTAAATGATGGTTATAAAGCAGTTGGAATTCTCATTTACAGTTTATGGTTAGGGTCAAAAATTATATTTAAGGTTTTCATCAGGAACTGATATCAGCTACAATGTCGTAACTCTATTTACCTAAATACGTGAATGAATTTCGCGCCCGAATTCGTTACCTTATATGTGACTTGTCTCGCCAAATTTTACCAACATCACGACATTGAGAGGAAAATAAATGTGAATGTCGATCAAGTACAATCTAAGCAACGGATAACAATGAAGAAATGAAGGAGTAGTAAGGTTAAAGCAATTTCTCAGTGACAACCAAAACAAAACAGAACCTGCCCTCAAAACCAATAAACCGCCTTGGTTTAACTTACCGCTTGATTGTGACGACCTTGAACCGACGTTCTTACTAAACATGCATAATAAAGACGGATATTAAAAAATGTTGACTCAAAGACAGGAAACAACTTACTTAATAATTACTATGCATCTTTGACGAGGAAATCTCAAAATCAGTTACCACTTTGTATTGCATTCGGTTTTTGAAATATATTATGTCATGTTATAATTTTTAAATAATTAGTAGGAAATATTATATTGTAACCTAAGTGATTTTACCTTGAAAATGTTTTGATGAATTAGTTATTTTCCAATTTCATAGAAATATGAACCTGTTGATTGATAATCCCATTTCCATTGTTAATAAAGCAGCTGTGCCCATTGCACTTTGTATGATCAGTCTCTAACGCATCTCAAAATAACGTATCCACCATACTTTCCACGTTCTTTGTTCAGGATGATGCTGTCTTCTTCAAATTATACTTTTACTTCTACATAAATTCTTGAACCCAAAACAGGGTTTCCATAGAGACGCATTCGTTGTGACGATGCTTGTTACGGCACAGAACCTCCTGACATGTTGAAGTCAGTGCTCGTTTGTTCTCTGTCCGATTGTACTCCAGAGTAGGTCCTTCATCGTTCCGAAGGAGTTGTAAGGCCGCTGGAACGTGTAGTGATTGATGTGAACAACATGGAGATATTTTACTGCGGTGTAGAGTGGGAGGAAGTTGCCCACCTTAGAAAATTGCACCACACCACACACCGTAGTAAAAAATATCTCTACAGTGTTTATATCATTCACCATTATTTAAGTGGCATTATTCACTCCTTAAAAGTCTCACTACACTCTCACTGCCAAATTCATCAATATTATTATTTCGATTGTTGTAATGCTAAACAACAACAACAACAACAACAACAACAACAACAAAAACAGCAACAGCAACTGAGTAACTGGTCAATGAATAAATACCAATCACAACTGGTCTGATTAAACCATGTGCACATGTCATGTACAACTACTGTGATCTCATCATTCACGTTGTTTCCATTCTCACACTCCATTTGTCACACACTCATGCTTCGCTTCTATCTACCACTCGATTCGTCAGTGTGGTCGCGCATTATTTCGAAGCATCACTTGCATCATCTTTCCCATTGTTTGTGCAACTTGTCCAACTTGCACAAATTCCAACAATTCACAATTGATTCGTTGTAGTTTGTGAATGAATTGCAATCGAGAGTGATCATGCATCAGGTCACCACACTCATGTGATGATGTGCTCTTCACAATGACGATAGTGACGATGATGATGATGATGATGATGATCATGATCATGATCATGATCATGTGTAATGATGTGGTTTTTGAATAGTGCTGTGCTCCTTATGCTAACATACTCTCGTGAACAGTTGAGCAAGATTGTCATACAGCGAAATATGCCACGACAACACAAGAGAATCGTGCACTTCCCGATTAATAATTGGGGCGTGCCATGACCATGATCACAGAGTGAAACAGTGACGACAACAATCCATGATTGAAGCGGAGTGCAAGTCGGTTTCAACAGTGCATAATAGTACACTGAATGACACACATGCAAAATCACTCACATGTACTCAACAGTCAGTGAATATTGGCGCATGTAAATTGGTGAATGTGTTGCAAGATTGTAGGTAGGTGGTTCATTGCAACGGTCACATAGTCATGTTGAGTCGATGGAGGTTTCTGGTGGTGACGCTGTTCACCTACTGTCTAACATTTGAACGTGTGTCAAGCTGGTTGATACGTAGTGGTGAACCTGTGCAACAACGCACTGAATTCCCGTTCATCGCATTTTTGACGACAGAGAGATCAATGTTATGATATATGACAGTGATCAGCATCGACTTTTCAAAGGCACAATACTGAAATATGGTGAGAGAGTGTAATAAGTAGGAGGAAGAGAGGTGAATTTATGAATTCAGTAGGATAGGTCGATTAGAAAGGGGATGTATCATACTGGACAATCACAATATCAGATATTACTCAGAAAACATGACGTTCACAATCACGATCAGATAGATGATTTCAAATTATATAATCACATCTATTAACCCTACTATTCCCACAACAACAAATGACCACTGTTCTACGATGATTGTGATGATGATGATGATGATAATGATGGTGATGGTGATGGTGATGGTGTTTATTTCTGTAGTCTGTCTCGTTGCTAGCACTGGCTGACTGAATGACCAACTATCACATCAATCGAACCGTCTTCATCCCTTTCCTTCTATCACTCTCGCCCTCTCTCCCTCTCTCCCTCTCTCTCTCAACATGCGTATATTCATGCATCGTGACCGAGCAGCATCCTGATCATAAGCAGCAAATAAATAACTGCCCATTTCACTAACACTTCACTGATCAACACACACACGCGCGCGCAAATTACATCACATCACACCACATCACACCACACCACACCACACTACACATGACAACTTCTAATAGAAAACGGATGGAATGTTGTAGTAATTGATCAAGTTGTTTATTTATCGGAAAAGTCTTAACACAATTGCGTGTGGATTTGTCGATAGATTATGTACACACATGTATGAATGATAGTAGCTGGTGTTGTTCAAACATTGTTCAAATATTGTTCAAATATTGGAGCGTACAAAATCCAACATTCTGGCCACACTGGCATACTCGACAATGATATCGGGAAGGTTTGGCAGTGTGACACCATGTGATACGACACCGAGTACTGGACCTTGAGGGGATGGAAGGAGAGGTCCACCACTGTCACCTGGAGCGGGTAACTGTCCGAAATTCTGACCTGATTTCACACAAATAGGATTGCCATCGGTCGAGTGTCGGCATTCCATTATAGTCGCTCGACCTGTGTCAAACAAAGAACACAACAGAACAGAAGATAACAGAACAGCGAAGAACAGACAAGCGAATTTACAAAATATCAACTGGCACAAATTATCCACCATCAAACTATGCACACAACAAATAGTCCACATGCAATCTCACCCACTTGTGCAACATATTCGCCAATCAACTCACTGTCCATCTCACCACCATCACAACATATACATGAAACTGATTGACCACCTACTTCATCTACAACAACACACTTCCATCGTCTGCACAGATATCTCATGAGTCTTCTCTCATACAAGTGATCTCACACACTCATTTATTCACTCACTAACTCACTCACTAACTCGCTCGCTCACTCACTCAATCACACACACCTCCCCAATGACCGAGATGCTGATGGAGTCACTAAGCTAGTGAACTGTCACAGGTAGATCCGAACACAGATAATGATACGATGACCATTACTACAACCGGTTTAGATAGATAGATAAATAGATAGATTGTTAGATAAATAGAAAGATAGATCGATATTCAGAGAGATAGATAGACCTATAGATTGATAGATACAGAGAGAGAGAGATGACTTTGTCATGTTGCTTGTTCATCAACAACACCAACTCACTCACTCACTCACTCACTCACTCACCTTTCTTTAAAATTCCACCATTTTTACGTTGTGGATCACGGTCGTTATCATCCCTTCCATAACCAACAATGAAAACAGGAGTTCCAGGTGTCGGTATATCCGTTGGCTGTGGCAGACTGAGCACTCTGATTCCAGTCTGTAAGTTGACCAATTGAGTGAGCGTTACAATTGCAACGTCGAATCCACTGAGTGTCCGTTGGATCGGTCTCCTCTGTCGTGCCGACGTACAAGAGGGCATGTATCCTGGTGCTACCTTCACTCCAGACGGTTGGTGATGGATGCCTTGTTGGTCGCCATTCCTCAGTGTGAGAAATGAAACCTGAAATAGACAAAGTGTGTCCACATTAGATCTATGCAAATCAACTGCACGCACACATGCACATAAACACGCATATACACACTATCACTCTCTGTGTGTGAAAATAATCGATCACTTTGAGCAACAACGTGTTTCAGT